AAAAAATCGACTTTATGAAAGCAATAGAGTCCCTTAAACAATATGTAAAAAACACCTTTATAGAAATGGATGAGAAGTATAACAAAAAGTTTGAAGAATTGAGTAAATACGTACATGAGACCCTGGGAAACCAAGAAAAAACGAACAAACAGGTAATGGAAACAGTTCAAGAATTGAAAACTGAAATGGAAGCAAGGAAGAAAGCACAAACTGGGGACCAGCTGGATACGGAAAATCTAGGTCAACGAGCAGAGCCTACAGAAACAAGCATAATCAATAGAATACAAGAAATAGAAGAAAGAATCTCAGATTCTGAGGACACCATAGAGAAAATAAACGCACTGATCAAAGAAAACAGCAAAGCCAACAAAATCTCATCACAAAACATTCAGGAAATATGGGACACAATAAAAAGACCAAACCTAAGAATAATAGGGATAGAAGAAGAAGAGTCACAGCTCAAAGGCCCAAAAAATATTTTTAACAAAATTATGGAAGAAAACTTTCCCAACATAAAGATATTCCTTTGAATATTCAAGAAGCATACAAAACACCAAATAGGCTGGATCAAAAACCAAACCAAAACAAAACATCCCCTCGCCATATAATAATCAAAACACAAAATATACAGATTAAAGAAAGAATATGAAGAGCTGCAAAGGAAAAAGGCCAAGTAACTTATAAAGGTAAACCGATCAGACTTACACCTGACTTCTCTATGGAAACCATGAAAGCCAGAAGGTCCTGGATAGAGGTACTGTAGAAACTAAGAGAACATGGATGCAAGCCTAAACTACTATACCCAGCCAAGCTATCGTTCACTAGCAATGGAGAAAACTAAACATTCCAGGATACGAACAAATTTAAACAATACGTAGCCACAAATTCAGCCTTACAAAAAATAATAGAAGGAAAATCACAACCCAAGGAATCCAACATTGCCAACACTGCCTACAATAACTCAGGCATCTAGCGACCCTTCACCAGCACAACTCAAAGAAGGGAGACACACAAACTATACTACCAAAAACAATAAGAATAACCGGAGTAAACAACCACTGGTCATTAATATCACTTAATATTAATGGACTCAATTCTCCTATAAAAAGGCACAGGCTAAGAGATTGGATACGAAAACAGGATCCAACATTCTGCTGTTTACAGGAAACACATCTCAACCACAAAGACAGGCATCTACTCAGAGTAAAGGGTTGGGAAAATGTTTTTCAAGCAAATGGACCTAAGAAACAAGCAGGTGTGGCCATACTAATTTCTAACAAAACTGACTTTAAACTAAAATCAATCAGAAGAGATCGAGATGGACACTTTATACTCATAACAGGAACAATTCATCAGGATGAAGTCTCAATCCTGAATATCTATGCCCCTAATATAAAAGCACCCACTTATGTAAAAGAAATATTACTAGAACTCAAGGCAGACATCAAACCACACATACTAGTGGAAGGAGACTTCAACACTCTTCTCTCACCAATGGACAGGTCAATCAGACAGAAACCTAATACAGAATTAAGAGAATTATTGGAGGTAATGAAGCAAATGGACTTAACAGACATCTATAGAACACTTCACCCAAATAGGAAAGAATATACCTTCTTCTATGCAGCTAATGGAACCTTCTCGAAAATTGACCACATATCCGGTAACAAAGCAAACTTCCACAGATACAAAAAAATATCAGTGTCCACCTGTGTCTTATCAGATCACCATGCATTAAAGTTAGAAGGCAACAACAATGCTACCCCCAGAAAGCCGACAAACTCATGGGAACTGAACAGTCAACTACTGAACCACACCTGGGTCAAGGAAGAAATTAAGAAAGAAATTAAAGTCTTCCTTGAATTTAATGAAAATAAAGAGACAACATACTCAAACCTTTGGGACACGATGAAAGCAGTGCTAAGAGGAAAGTTCATAGCACTAAGTGCCCACTTAAAGAAAACGGAGAAAGCTTACATTGGAGACTTAACAGCACACCTGAACGCTTTAGAAAAAAAAGAAGCAGATCTGCCCAGGAGGAGTAGAAGACTGGAAATAATCAAACTAAGGGCTGAAATCAATGAAATAGAAACACAGAAAACAGTCCAAAGAATCAATGAAACAAAAAGTTGGTTCTTAGAGAAAATCAACAAGATCGACAAACCCCTA